GCTGGCTCTTCGGCTGCTGCTGGTTCCTGGCTTTGAGCTGGCTCTTCGGCTGCTGCCGGTTCCTGGCTTTGTGCTGGCTCTTCAGCTGATGCTGGCTCTTCGGCTGATGCTGGCTCTTCAGCAGATGCTGGCTGTTCAGCTGAAGCTGGCTGTTCAGCTGATGCAGGCTGTTCATCCTTTGACGGTTCCTCACCTTGTTCGGGTTGGTCTACCTTTGATGGCTCATCGCTCTGTGGCTGTTCATCCTTTGACGGCTCCTCAGGCTGAGCAACTGGTTTTTTCTGTTGCTTATTCTTCTGTTCTTGTTGCAACTTGAAGAACAATGTGGCTAGAGCTTCGGCAACTTCCTCAGGTACTTTAATGTGGGAATCGGCCTTCATATAAGTATCAATAACAATTGGGGGCAGCTTCCTCTTGTGTTCCTGTGCCTGTTGAATAACAGCTTCTCCTGATTCAGAAAAGGAAGAAGAAGACAAGGGCAATGCTACGGCCGATTGGACCAATAAGTAGGCGCAAAGCACAGCGGCAACGGTGAAAGTGGCTTTCATTTTGTTAGTTTGGTACAATTAAAAGAACTTGACTGATTGACTATTCTTTGGGCAGAGTTATTTATACTCAACCAGAACAGTAATACATTTCTAACTAAAAAATGCATTTATCAATGTAAAATTCAATTAAGTGGTACACTTGGAAAGTTTAGTTAATTGAAAGTCGAGTATCTTTTATCGGCGTGCTTGGTGGGAAAAGCCCTCCGCTGTTATCTGAAGTTGTTTTGATATTCGATATTATGCAATCTATAGTATATGCGATGTTATATCTGCTCTCTATTAGCTCTCGTAAATGTGGTTGTCTTTCGGGGGTGTTACTTGCATATGTAATTTATTGGCGCAGTATGTTTTGTTTTCAAAAGATTTGAATGCTGACTCATAGCCTTAAGTGGTATGAAGTGCTTAAATATTTTTATAATATATAAATAAATATCTGTGAGTACTTTCGTACATACTTCGTTTTTATATATGTCGTAATTATTGCACTTCCTTGTTATTGTCAAACTAAAGACTTCATTAGTTATACCCTTGAATAGTTTTATCATTGCTATCAAGGGCTGCATCCTGTGTGATAATGACTATTCAGATCTCACTGCTAGAACACTTTAATATTTTTACGTGTTGTATTTATGCTTAATTATGGAAGGAGAGATGGATTTGAATAGTGTAAGGGGTACGGAAACTATCTTCATTCATTGCATTATATCAGTTGGAGTTTGGTTTCCTTAGGTTTTGATTTATGGAAAGTTTTGTAAGCGGAATTTTTAATATATTAAAAGAAAATAATATTTTTAAAATCAAACTTTGAGGTCTTACCTTTTTTTTAGGCATCTCTAGAGGAAAGGTCCTCCGCCTTACATTTTTTGTATTTTTATGCCCTGAGCTGGGTGCAAAATAAGTTTGCCACGAAGTTTGTGACACCCAAAAGAAAACTTCGGAGAACCTACAAAGTATATTTTATTCATGTACGTCTGTCCGACTGTATATATGCGAACTATGGCATGAATTATTGCCTAGGTCAATAATAAGTCAATATCCGAAAAAATTGTTCAGATAGGATTACTATAACATATAGCTGCCTTATAAACGCACCGATAAAAATCAAGATAAATATCTTTTTTTGCTTTTATTATAGCTTCGGTTCAGCCAATGTTAACGTTTTTTCTTGTTTTCTTATTATCAAATAGAAAAATTCATACCTCGCTATCAACTATTTGAAAATATATCTATATAATTTTTCGTTGAAGTTAAGCATTTACGAGTTATCTATCGACAAACATCAATGAAAAAAATTAAAAAAGAAAATAAAAATAATAAGACCGGACCTTAACGTCCCGAGCCTATTTTGGCGGGGTGCGCGCTGTCTTTTCTCTCTTCCGAAAATCTTAAAAATAGTAGTTTTCCCAATTTTCTGTAGAAAATTTCCTACAAAACAATGGGTTTGCAACTTAAAATGGTTTCATTCCATCATAAATTATTATATTAAAAAATTCATAAGAATAAGAAAAATTTGCCTTAAGATAATAAAACTTTAATTGTAATATCTTTTAAACGGTTATGCTTACGAAAAAATCGTAAGAGACAATTTTGTAGAGCAATTTTCTACAAAGTCTATCTATATATCAATGAGAAAAAAAAGAAAACTGTTAGGAGGACCTTCCCGTTACAATTAAGAACTCATACTTGAAGAGATTATCTTAGAGTTGTCTAAGAACCTATTTTTCAGAGTGCCAAGTGAAAAAAATATTCATTTTTTTTTACCCACCTTAATGTGTTCATTACCGAATATCTTTAAAAGCTAATTTTTCACGTACTTTAATACAAATCTTTATTATCGCCATCAAAATAAGATGCTGAGCCGATACAAACCTGTCTGCTTAAATATACAAAACTTCAAAAACTTTACTGCAGAGGGCGCTTTGTTTAAACTTATCGGAGTCATGAACCATGTGTATACAGTGTGTCTCTTTTGAAAGTGCAGACACATATTTCGATTATGAATAATTTAAAGATATATGAGAAAGAAAGGATTTTGCCTTTGTAAAGTTGCGTTATATCTAGTTATTTCTGCATTTTAATGGCTGCCAGGTAGCTTTGATAAATCATTCTGTGATACAGAAGAGAACTAGGCTTTTGTAATTTAATCCTACTTATGTATATATGATCGATAAATTCAATAATATAATAGTTTATAGAATTGTCAGCTCTAAGCTCCGACAAATTATAATTATCGATCATACTTTTTTCGTTTTTATTTACGATACAAGCAAACAGTATATAAAATACTTAGAAATCATCAAAAAACTTTCTCTTAATATTTTCTTGTTTTAAAATAGCCATTATGTAGGATATAACGAAACAAAACATGCCGTAAATAGTACAAGTTCAAAGCTTTGATGGGCTACATATCATTTTCTCTTCGTTGATTATCTTAAAAGTATGAGAAAAATTAAAAAAAGTAGTTTCCCGAATTCTCTCACCTTAGACTATTTGTATAGATACATAGTTAAAATAATCAATAGTTGCAAAAAGTAAATCGATAGACGGATAGTTGAAATAATCAATTCTACCGATATCTCGATAATTTATTTTTTAGGATCGTGTAATACTTCATTGCATACCTGCCACAATAATTTCTTTAATAAATTAATAGAAGAAAAAATTAAAGGGAAATTACTGAAATGCATGAGCCAGGCAAGTCCATTTACGCACTGGGTAAGTACAATTTCTTCCCCTTAATTGAAAATTCACTACCAAAACATTCCACAACAAAAAGCAGCAACACTGTTCGCACATTTCTGTATTCCATTTTCTACTCGCGCAGCAGAGCCGCTCTTTGGTCATCGTGCGCGTTCGCCTCTCATTTGTTGTTTGTCTCTCATCGATGTTGGAAGTTTGTGTTGAATGCGCCGTTTGTTGTCGCTACGCGTTTTCAACAATTTGGTTTCAGCGACTCCTTTTAGCCAAATTCCGTTAGTGCTATTATAATTACAATGTGCAAAGCGAAATAGTTCAAACTAAATTGAAAAACAAGAACAATATATAAATAAATATTTAAATTTCGGTATACAAAAACAAATAATTGCAATAAAAGTGAATGAAAGTGGTGAATACAAAAACGAAAATCATAGTAATTTATAGCATTAACTGATCCCATTCACCTGTGCCAGCGGACGTACTCGCTCATTATCAGCTATTGCCGTCTTTCGGCGCAGTCCTGTCATTCGGCAAGATTTGTGAGTTTTTGAAATATTGTACTTTGTTGTTTGAAGTAATTAAATATTTGCCAGAAAGAAAACAGACGAACTGCATTGTTTCGCATAAATAAATAAAAAGGTGGGAAATGCAGAACGAGTGCAAAACAAATTGCAAAACAAATCGAAAAGTAATACTCAGTGTTTATTAATAATTTCCCCGTCATACGCAGTGTTATAAATATTAATTATCAACTGCTGAAAAACATACGCGCTAATAAACAGATAAAAAAGTAAACGGCATTAGGTACAGTGTGAGTGGTGGAGGTAGCTTTTGCAGTCGAGCGTTGGCAGTGCGAAACCATAACGCTCGACGGCCTGATTGCTGTCGCCAATGGCAACAAAAAAACAATAACATTACTATATTATAAAAAAAATAAATAAATAGTTGGAAACAGTAAAGAAATTAAGTGTGCTCAACAAGTGTAACGAGCAAATGCGCACCCTCAATACACTTGGCCTAAAAGCGGCTAAATAAACGACTTTGCATTGTTTGCGCATATTCTCAAATGCGTACACATATGTACAAATGTGTATGTGTGTGTGTGTAGTATATACAAATACGAAGAGATCGCGCAATAAAACGGAAACGGAAATTTGAGTTCCTTCCAAAGTGCTGGTGTGCAAGAGAATTTTTGAACAATTCACGAAAATAAATAGAGTCGAGTGATTTTACGAACTACGTACGCATTTATGTAGGTATTTAATATTTTTAAATTCACATTAAAAAATATTAATGCATTTAAGTTTTTGCGGCTGATACACGCCACCGACTTGTTTTAGCAGGCGTCATACTGGTTTACTCCATTGAACTATACAGAGAACTGCTCTAAACAGTTTTATTCATTGAAAACCTGCAAAACACAACAAAACTATTTCAACAACAACACTGTGTGATCAACAAACGAACGTACGATCGCCCGATAAATGCTAATTGGTAAGCTGTCACACCTTGACTGTTGTTACAACGCCGCCAGCGGAGAGAGCCCTTGCAGATGTCTGTATGTACAGTAGCTGCCAAGTTGAAATGATTCGCAGCCAGGATATTGCCAGTGAAAATAAATAATACGAATAACTCAGCTAAAACAAAATAAAGTGTAAAATATAACTATCAATAAACATTTGAAGAAATTAGAACAACAAATTGTCAAATGTATGCGTGTACATTAATGCAACATGTGGCAATATGCTGATCTTGGCTTTATCGCCGTCAGTTTAGCGTCGCTCTCATCTCCCTCCCCGTCGTCGTACCCGCCGTGCGCGCAGGTTTTGATTTCGTTCGAGTCGTCAAATGACAAGAATCGCGTACGCGTCCCGGTCTCCCGCGCCTAGTCTGTGCTTGCGAATCAGACGTTCCGCTGCATCGATCAGAATCAGCAAAATTTAGCAACAACGACAACAACAAAAGCAACGTAAATTAACAACAAACACTGCAATTAGTCGTACATAGGCAGCGTGTGTTCCATACGAGCACCGCCGTTATCGTTGTCGTTGCCTCGCTACGCTTGATCGAGCCACGCAAGGCAAGAAATTGAGCCCAGTTCTTTGTTGGCAGCAAAACGTAAATAAAAATACAACATAAATATATGTATTTGTAATAATAATAAAATGCGGTGAATTTGAACATGAATACAACGAATAAGAAATAGTTCGCGAAGTTTATGTTAAATTGTGCTTATAAAATATTTGAATCAGTTATATTTGATGCGATAAAATATTAATAAGAAGCTCAAGCATTTAAAAATTGTGTGTGTGTTTGTGTAAAGAATACAGTGCAAAGTCTTAAAAATATTTTCTTTTAATATAAAGATTGAGCAATACCACCTTCTTCGTCCGAAATGCAGATAAACACAGCGTATCGCTCTCACAGTCATGTGATCATGTGGCTGTCACTGGGATTTTTCCTTTTGGCTGCTATTCCAACTAGCGAGGGATCCATCACTGCTGGTTATGTAGATCATGGAGATATGAAAGGTGAGTGCGGGTGTGGCGGAATATATTTGTATCCGATAGAACAAAATAACCAAAATATGATACGTAGAATATTGCCTGTCGATTCAGATAAATATTTATAAAAGTTATAAGAAGAAATATATGTATATGAATATTTGAAAGAGAAACGTTAAGTGTGGGAGAGTACTCAAGAGAATCAACTAACGCATAAGTAGCTTAGAAACAAGTATAAGTAAATCTTAATGAGCAATGAGGTGCCCAATGAGTTGTTAGGTTTATGCTCAGAAGAAACGTCGTAGACCCTACGAAGTGTATTTCTTTTTGTGCGTCTTCAATTTTGTACGTCATGTTCTCCTCTAGCAGCTGCTCATACGTCGAAATCGCCGATAGCGGACCACTATAGCATAGAGCTGCCATACAAACTGACCAATGGAAATCAAGACAAAGATCTTTTCACACCTTTTTTTGCTATAAGAAATGCACCTGTGAAGGGTATTAAGGCTGCAGTGGGGCAAGCAAGTATATTTTTATGTTTTAGAAAAACTATTTTTAATAAAGACCATGCCGAGCTTGCGGGCTATGTTTGAACTTTCTATCGATATTTACTGCTTCTAGTCCTCTTGGTGATATGTTTTCTTAATGTTTTCCAATTACAGAAGCAGCAAAATTACATAACTCATATTTTCATTACACATTACACACTTGAATACAAACCCAGTTATTACAAATCTCTTGCGAGCATATTTCAATCAAAATTGTTTCCGTTCAAATGAAATTTCTTACTAATTATAAAACTTATTAACTTTATTCTTATTCACGAGTTGAGTGTGTGCGATCCTTGCAACACACCCAAATCGTCGGCAGCATGCATGAAGAAAAAATGGAATATTTCTAAAATTTTTATGCCTACCTACATTGTTGCATGCCTCAAAATCCCTTGCGATTGCGTGATTTCTCTAAACACTTCCGTATCTCTAAGCATCATCAACAACTTTTGGACAAATTGGAGAAAACCCGAAATACCCAATTTATGGATTTGTGTATCTTTAACTAAATCACCATTTTTATTGAATAACTATACATACATGTGTATGTATGTATGTAATCGATTGATCGTTTCACCCGACAGCCGTCGAAGATGAGCGACAGACGGCTGCATGCTTGCAGGTTTTCTACTATTAAGTTACGAAAATTTATCATTAAGATCAACGGATAAAAACTAAAGCTGTAAAAGGAAAATATCACTATAGAAACAAAATCACGATGTGAGCAATCCCATTTGGGCAACATAAAGGAATCTGAAGAAAAATATCGATCTCGAGAATTGCGAAATATATCAATGGTTAGGGTAAGGCATCTGTTCCACTAACAATCTGCTCTGCTTACCTTGCTTTGTTGCGCTCCTTTTATTCCCATGTTGTGGCTCATCTATAGCAGCAGCAGCGAAATACACACGAAAGGAATAGAAGGAGTAGGATCACAACTGCTTTCAAAAACCAAACCAAAAACCATATAAATAGCAACCACCTTCAATGCCTTTACATTTATATGATTTATATTTGTATGTGTGTTTTGTTTGAATGTGCGCGAGGGTTCGCTGATTCCGCCTTCGTGCGCAGGTATGATTTACCTGTGCGCTGTAAATATTCTGGATTTTCTGTGCAACCTGCAGCGTACAGGTAATTGTTGACCGCGTTGTTGTTGTTGTGTTCTTTGCTCACGACGAACAGGATAATCGGCATTTTCACATTTACTTCTTTATATTCTGACTCATTTATGTGTATTTGCATTTTACTTTGCGGCCATTCGCTGGCTCGTTGATTTTCCATTTTTTCTGCCTTTGTAAATGTGTGGGCTCATTCATGACTGCCTTGACTTGGGTTTTGAGTTATATCGGCATTTGTATAGTACAAACTAGTTATTTACTATGACCATTTCTTTAAATGTGTTTGTACATACACACATACGCACGCATCTGTTAAAAGAAAAGTGTAAGGTAATCCATTATGTCGTTTGAAGTCTGCTGCCAACTGGATATTTATTCATTCATAGATCGCTACTTTTAGTCAACTTGTTTATTTAGTATTCTGCTCTCTATTTCGGTCACTCTTCGTGTTGGACCTTGGAGTTTCGTTTTGGTGTTTAAATAAAGTTAATATCAGGGAAATAATAAAAGGAGTAGAAATTGGCAAAACATTCGTAGGTACAGCTAGCAGAGGGAAAATCAGTATTGTAATATATTTTATATTTCTTTAATATATAATCAGGATATTATGTTCGTAACTGTCTGTCTGTATATAGGGACCTTCCACAGTTTTTGAGATCCGAAATTTTACACACTATCTTTTCTCCTCAAAAAGCTTCTCATTTGTCGAAATCGTCAATATGTACCAGCCACACAAGCACATCGATCAAAATCAAGTTCTTGTATGGGAAACTTTTTTATCCGACAAGATATCTTCCCGAAATTTAGCATAAGTTATTTCCTAAGGCAACAATGCAATCTCCGAAGAAATTATATAGATCGGATGACTATAACATATAGCTGCCATATTAACTGAACGATCGGAGTAAAGTGCTTGCAAACTTTTTTATTTGACGAGGTATCTTCACGCAGTTAGATCGGAATCAAGTTATTGTAAGAAACCTTTGTATCTGTGAAGGGTATTGTAGCTTCGGTGCAACCGAAGTTAACGTTTTTTCTTGTTTTTTTATATAATATTGAATAAACTTTTCTAATTTCAATTTTTGCTTCGATAAAAAATCAAGACTATCAAGATTCCTTTCGCTGATATGAAACCAATTCCCACCAACAACTATTCGTTATAAATGAAATTAGTCACAATAATAATCAGAACTGATTTGTTTTGAGTAGCATACAGATATGTATATATATATAATCTTATAGGTCACCTATCAATGACTCCCTGTTTAGTTAACACGACCAAGTTAATACAGTCTGGAGACAGTAACATAAATACATAGTACTAAAGTCCAGTATTTAGGTACATTTTATATATGTATGTAGCATGCATGTGCACCTCGAGCTTATCATTCGTCTTCGTATTAAGTAAATGCATGATAACATTGTTTACTTTTTATATGATACTTAAGTTAACACTTTTGTTGTTGCTCACTCAACTGTTTTATTGGCCTCGTTAAGAGTTCGCGCTGTGAGTCAGCGCTAACTAGCAAGAAAGAAAATAAAAGCAGTAAGCAAACAGCTAGCAAGAAAGGGGAGAACAAACAAACTGACAACAATGCTTCGTCTATATATATATATATGACGACCCTATATATATATATATATTTTAGCACAAAACATACATAAATATCTGCGAGGTGTCTTAGTGCTGCCGGCATAGATTTCACTTGCAACGTCTGGTGGCCCACCATATGATCTCGAGCAGTGTCGAAGTCGAAAACATAAAAATATACATCGGAGAAAGCCACCTACTTGCCTTGACAGCAGCGCGCTCGTATTTACAAAGTAAGCTACTTATGTCGCTCATTAGGGTCGTCAGCGCTAACGTGACGCCACAGCAGTTGCAGAATCAGTTCAGCTGCTGGGCGACCGTTTGTACTCTTCATAAATTTTGCAAAAGCAAAGCAGAAGCGTTAAACAAAAACAACCGAATGGCAGTAATGACAGCACCTGCCCTACACTTTTGTTGTTGTTGTTACTGAGTTTCACTTTGTTGTCACTGTGTTCGCATCGCACGGTTCACCTGCCGCGCCGCTGCCACAGCAGCATGCAACATGATCGCTTTGCGAAACACTCACGTACACGTCTGCCTCGTATGCGTGCCTTTGCATGTGTGCGCATTTACACTTTTGCAAGACTGCTTTGGCCAAGCTGCAAACGCATTTAAGCTACACTATGCCGCATGTTGCAGTTGCATTGCGCCACCTGTGGCATGCTACATTCGTGTAATGTCATATGAGTAGTTGCAGCTTAGCCACCCCTCAGCCGTGGCACCGACCACCTTTTCTGTTGCACTGCATGGTCTTTGCACTACTCCTCTCGCTTTTTGGCCAAACTTTGCATAGTTGGATGGACGGACGATCGTTCGATCGCTTGAATGCTTCGCTCAGCTGAATTTTTACTTAAGAGTGCCTCGGCACTGTTGTTAGCACTATCCGTTAGGGCATTGTTACCACTGATTGTGCTGTTGTTAATGCAAGCCATGCAACGAAACCCGTTCTTGCAAACAAATACAAAATACATTTTTATGCTTTGTTGCGGCTTTTCGTAAATCGTCGTTTATTTCCAGCGTTTCGTAACAGTAGCAACACGCGACATTTAATAGACGATAAGGCGTGACCAACAATTAGTTATATATATAAATATCATATACTGGTCAATAACTTTAATCATTCGTTATCATAATTCTTCGAAAAATTGTCGTTCAGCGATAACATGTTGGTCTTTTTGAACTAAGGCCACTTTCATAGTATGCCTCGTCCTTATGGGCTTAAAACTGGAACTGCTGGTTTCCATAAGCTTCTTTTGAGCCAAATTTTTCACCAGCAAAATAATTCGCTATAAGCAAGCATGGGTAACAATCACTGGGTTCCAGGTACGAACTATAAAGTGGATGTATAGACGTCACAGCCAAGCCTGAGCTTCTGGCGTGTCATTATCGCTATGTGTGCCCTGGCTTGCCTGATGGAACACTATTTATGTCCTATTCACCACTTCTGGGTGAACACATAGTAGATGGTTCCCTGCCAATCCCACCCAATATACAGCAAACTCTTCCTGACAGTCAATCCTGGCTTGGCCACCGTTGCGATTCAGCAGCTGGAAATACAGTCTTTAACTAGTGTGGCATCCAAACAACGAGGGTCTTTTTGTATCCCACCTTCTTTAAATTGTTCTAAACTGGCTGTTGTTCAACGTTTAGCTATTGGGCAATCGAAACAGTGCTTACCTGACGGGCGGACTCGACGATTTTCATTATTTTATTGATATTTTCGACAATAGTTCAGAGCGTGGTGTATCCAAAATTGCGCATGAT